TCACCAGGCCTCCTCCATCTCCTCCTTTTCCTTCTCCAGACTGTTGTGATTATATGTTTAGTGCTCATCCAGGTAGGATGTCACATCAATGTTGGGATTTTATGTTCTATTCTATTCCCAGCCAGCTGGGAATTTATATTTCTGATACTTTAAAATGTTTATTGCCCTCTTTAATCAAATATTATTTGGGCTGTTATATATTGTTTATGAACACACGCCCTACTAGCTGTGTGTTAGAACAATTTGGACACTGGTTCCCACTGTCCAAAAAACATGATGATGTCATATGGCACAACAAGACTCCGTTTGCTCCTCGCTGTCAGCGGCGCCTCCAGCAGCTCGGCTCATCACTAATGATTTTATTAATCTGTCTGTCCTTAACCAGTATGGCTGACGATTTGTTCCTGATTCTCAACACATTATGATGTTAAATGGAATTGAAATAGGTTTTCTTTTACTCCAGCTCTCCATTAGTTAATCCTGAACAACACGTCTGTTTTTGTGTTTCTGTGTTCAGGCCCAATCAGACATAGAAGCTCAAATGTCGCGGTTGTCTGAAAGTGTCCAGAAGCTCCTGGAAACCAACAGGTAGGCAAACTTCCTGCAGCTTCCTGTTCGCCACCTTCTGATAAAATGATATTTTAAATATTCATCATACAGCCAGACATTTCATGACCTCCTCCTCTGACCTGCCTCCCTGTTCCAGGTTAACCTCCTTAATTTTGAAATGGGGAATAAGTGAATTTAGACCATGTCTGGTGGTTTGTTCATCAGTAACCAGGCTTTACCTGTAGAGGGCTGTAATGTAGTGGTGGTCTATTGGTTACGGAATTGGTCAGAGGTCAGAGATTAGTGGACCAGGGTCCGGACCCACCTGCTGGCTAATCTGGACCCAACTTGATGTAAAACATTTATAAATTACCGCATGTTATCTGTCTAACTTAAATTGCGGTGCTTCTCCTGTTAATACGGTAAAGCCCTCCGTAGCATCCGGCTCCAGGCTGCACGTGATCCAAATTAGCCAATCAGTCTGGGTTGCTGCTGCTGCTACTTTTAGACACAAAAGGCAAACCTGTGGCAAGCTGGGAGATGGGAAAGAAGGAGAAGATGATGAGAAAAAGAAAGCCGAGAAAGTATGGACTGCAGGAAGAACTGCGGTGAACTGGTGAAAGAAAAGTGCAATGGCGTGCTCAAAGATGAACATTTAGAGGATGTTTGGCTCAACCTGCTGCTGTGAAGCAGGATTCTCCACCATGAACAGAATCAACAATAAATATGGATCCAGGCTCAAAATGAGCACCTTGATATGTGCTTGAGAATGACTTAGTCTCCATTTAAACCCAGGTTTAAAGCCTTGTAGGGCAGCATAAAGCCCACTGCAACCATTAAGACAGAAAAAAGAAAAAAAATCCTTAACCCCCAGACTGCTCCCCGGGTGCCGCACAATGGCAGCCCACTGCTCCCAAAGGGGAGGGGTTAAATGCAGTGAGGAAATTTAGTTGCTCTTTTCATGTGACTGTGAAATGATGATGATAAAAGCTCGAAAAAAAAAAAAACGCAAGTTACAAGTTTTAGTGTTTAAAACCAGAAGAATAGATAAAGGAATGAAGCTGATGAAAGCTTGTGTTTTTGATCAGAGCTGAGGGCTTGTTTTCTGTCACCTTGAAGTGTTTCTTCTGTTTTAACTGGAACTGAGGCAAACTTTCGGCTCTATGCCTCCATGGCCTGACTGTCTGCTCTGATCTAAGGGAGGCTGATGGCCGGCGGTGGGGCCTGAGTCAGCAGACGCTGCATCACCTAGAGACTCTGCAGAGCCAGCAGCTCCAGCTGCAGGTAAACTCCCTCACCTGCTCAGAACCTGCAACTGCTGCTTCCCCCTTCCAGCCTGTCACTGATTATTGCTTCTCTTCTCATCCAATCAGAGCCAGCTAATGGAGTCTGCCATCAAGATAGTGACAGGCCACAGTTCCATGACTTCAGACTCTGAAGCAGCAGGTGAGTCAGCCCAGCCTAACAAGCCCATACCTTCAAGCAGAGCCACTGGCTCTGGTCCAATAGGTGTCTACCTCCACGTTTATCTCCATCTCTGATCACGGCTTCACTGATGAGACTAAGGAAAGGTGAAGGCGGTCAGTCTGACACCCATTCAGGTTGAGGGTCGTAATTTAGTTCTAAGGTCCTCCCCTGGAAAACAGGGTGGACAAGCCACAGCTGCGACCTGCAGGTTTGCAAATATAAACATTTAGAGACATCTTTCTGTTTTAGTAAACAGAATCAAGTTGATAAAAAGAAATGTTTTTGGTGGGACAGGCGGCCATTTTGGTTATATTTTAGGAGAATATCGCTCTGACCTTGAAACATAAACGCCTGCAGCTTTTGTTCAGGCTCCTGCATCGTCTACTGTGGCCTGAGCTTCACCCCAAAGCGCCGCTAGAACTGATGCTGTGATGATCTTCACTCTGCAGCAGAAAAGCAAAGTTCACGAGTTCATCCAGACCTTTTCAATAAAATCTAGCAGGGGAAGGATTCTGTTGGATATATGTTTAAGCAAGACCAGGCATGATTAGCACTGATTAACTAAAATATTAGTCTGTTTATCTGATTTTTCAAGATATTCCAGAGTCTGAGCTGAAGGAAAGGGGAGGACATGTTTTGTATTTACAGTTTTCTCTGTCTTCCACCAGCAAAGGTTGGGCACCAGAAACCTGTAAGGCCTGACAGTACAGCGGAGATGGATGCGGTTACCATGGAAACAGGCCCCCGTGGCTCCAGGCCAGGGCAGACCAGGTAACATTGGATGAGTTTTCTGTTTTCCTTGTAGTATTTTATTCAGCTCATGTTCCTGGAGAGGAGACGAACTCAGAGAGCATTTGGTTGATGACGGGACATTCCAGCACTTTGACGGAGAGTTGATGGTTCCCAGTTAACCTGCACGGTGGGTTTGATGCATGAATAGGGGACCATAGGGAAAACGTCCCTACCAATAATTCGATGTGAACAACATGTTTATAATCGTCTCTCGCAGCTTAGTGGCTGCCGCTCCGTCTGAGTGCTGCCCGGTCTTTCCTGTCCCTTAAATAATTAACTGCGCTGTTTAGCTCCACTCTTATTGGTTGTTCTGCCTCAAGTTCCGCCTTCTCTCTTCCTGATTGGCTGTTTTCTAGTCTGTTTTCGTGTGGGCGAGCTTGGGGCGTGAAATAAGAATTTTATTTACGCTACTTACTTCAATTAATATTAGGCTACGAAACTAATCCTAATAAAAAAAAATCTGAATTCTATCTATACTAAAACAGGTGAAAGCTGCTGATTGCTGATTCTTAGCCACAGCCGACTGAAAAAGAAAATTTTTTCACTTTATGACGACCGTTTGAGGCGGTTCAGCTATAAATAGCAGGTGTTATTTCTTTTAAAGAGTATAACGACACGAGATGGTGCCTAAACATCTATTTTTTGTTTGGAAAGCTTAATTCTGGTTCCACATAATGTTGCTATTTCTTTGACTATTTCTACTTTTAAAAATAGGATCAATTCAAAAACAAACAGATGAACACTATTTACATTAATTTTATTTTGCACAGATTTCCACACGGTCCATAAGTTAATTAGTACAAACATTAGTGTTTAGTAAAAATGCTTGAATCCGGCTGTTTAATTTGAATATTATTACATTATTACAGATTATTATTACAGACAACATGGTGTTATATTTTCTTTTAATAATTGTTAAAAGTGATTTTATTTTGGAATAAATTAAGTCTCATTGTTATTTTTGTGTTTTGTAGATGATGCCACTAAATGTAAATACAATAAATGTATTTGCCGTTTCTTGAATGTGTTATTTTGCGTCGTTTCATGATACAGAGAGAGCATTTAAAAAAATAAGAGTGTGTTTCACCCGTTTACCTTTGCAAAAACGCAGGATAAATCCACGTATAACGGGCATAATTAGACTATATTTGGTTAAACCTACTGTTTTAGTCACTGGTAAGTTTAACTGCAAACCTTTTCAAAGTGGGAAAAAAGTGCTAATTCCACATTCATCAGAGTCGGTGACGCTTCAAACATTGATAAACAACATCTAGCGTGTGTAGTGCTTATTAAATTATTATAAATGTAGCAAGAAATGCTGCTTTTCTATTTAAACGAAATGCACCCTGATGCTAATGTCAGGCATAACTAAAGCAAGCATATTTGTGCATGGGTAAAATGACATGAATGAAACTTAGGACCAATAGTGTCCCTTCCAAAGTGGAAATCAAACCTACGCCCTTGGTTTGATGGTTAGCAGGTGTGGAGCTTCTTGTTTTCTTGGTGGACGTGTGGGTTTGGCTTTGGGATGTTCTCAGATGTTCCAAACCGGTGCAGTTTGTCAGCTCAACCTTCAGCGCCGTCACCTTGGACATCCTCGCCTAGAAGCTCCACCTCTCTGTGGATCAGCAGCAGCTTAGGCCGACATCTTCTCATCTCGGTGCTCCTCAGGGCTGCGTTGTCCTCCTCTTTCTCCTCCTAGACAAATGTCTCTGCCTTAGTTGATCCACATGTGAGAGGTGGTTCTGGTGGGGATGGCATTGATCCGAAGTTTGACATTCCTTCTCATACTTTCTTTCACAGATAGTCTCTAACAGAAGGTTTAAACTAAGCAAAAAAAAAAAATAAATCTGTTCCCGATTAGATTTTCCAGAGGGTCTTGTTGCAGAGCTATGCATCGTTGGCTTTCCACAAAACAGATTTTCCCCGTAGAGCAGGTGTTGGGCTTTATGGCGGAGAGCAGAGATGGTTCAAACCGTCCCATACCCGTCTCTCGTCTTCCTTTCCTCCTTTTCTGCATCCATGATGCCTTCTCTTTCAATCATCTGGGATTTTGTGATTCTAACGATCTCCTGCTGCGGTGCCAATCTAGAAATCTAGTTTGTTCTGGGTGAATTTTCTGCGTCAGTGCGTGTTAAAGGTATGACGGCGGTCATCTGTCCTTCAGCTGAACTTGTTGGCAGTGATTTAGATTTAAAGTTTGAAAAGGAGCTGCAGACTGAGCCCTGAACGGTCGTCTGTAGATGGAAACCGGTGAATTTCAGGCTTTTTGTTTGACCAAGCATGGATGTTTATCCATGTAATGTAGGCGGAGCTGGAATAGAGGTGTCATCCTTTCTGCCTGCAGGGGTTAAATGATGAGCATATTTATGTGTAGAGAAGAAGAGAACTTCAGCTGTGATGTGAAGCAGGTTCCTCCTCCTCCCCTCTGTGTGGCCAGCAGGCGTGTCGCTATGGCAACGCGGAGGGTACCCATCAGAGGGATGCCTGTAGTGGTGGGGGTGTGAGGAAGAGAGGAAACACAACCTTCCTGCAGGTGTGATGTCCTCGGATTGCATCAGCACAGCTAAGATTGGATCATGATCCGATCCGCTGAGAAAATAGAAAAACTCGATTTGCAAATTAAGTTTTTAAATGTTTAAAGTGTGACGTGATGCCTGAGGTGTATGGAGGGCCAAAATGTATCATGAAATGCATGTGAATATCCCATAAAATAATTAGATTTAACAATTATTCCTTTATCTAATACCTAAATTAATTCAATATATCATTAAATTGTAAAATATCCAATTCAACAATGAAATATCCCTTTTATAAATTGACCTATTTAAAGAATTATTTATTATTATAAATTCTTTAAGCCATCGTTTTGATTGTATTTATCTAAAAATGAATATAATTTTTGGACTGAAACAATTTATTGGATTAATCGATTATCAAAAAAAATAATTTTCAACTAATTCAGCAATAGATTAATCATGGTCATCTCTACTGGAGTGTTGAGATTTTGAAAGACACCTTTTGCTTAAAGAGTGACACAGCAAAATAAAAAAAAAAGTAAACATTTTGCATTTAAGATAAAAAAAAAAAAAAATAGTCTGTCAATCTGCTCTATCCAGAGCTCCTCAAGTGGAAAAGCTTGAGTTTCACTTGGTTTGATTATGTAAAAAAAAACATGTTTGAGGAACCTTTGAGAATCCTATCATTATATTTCTGTATATTTAATTCAATTCAGTTTATTTCTATAGCGCCAATTTACAACACATGTGATCTCAAGGCACTTTCCAGTTCACCAGATCATCCAGGAAACGCACAACCAATGTTGATGTCAGCAGCTGATATTTCTCTCCAGGATGGAGTCACAGCCAAACAGGAACAGACCAGATGAAGCTACTATGAGGAAAAAGCAGAGAGAGCAGAACGTTAGAGATTGAACTAACAGATTCTGCAGAGTGGGAGAATAGAGATAGAATGAAGCAGAATGATGAAAAAGGGGTCCCTATGTCCTCCAGCAGTCTATCATTAGGCAATACTAGGCAGGTCCAAACAGACAGCAGCAAACCATTTGAAAGAAAAAAATGAACAGTTTGTTTTCCTAGCAGTGTTGCCAACTTAGCGCTTTAGTCGCTATATTTAGCGACTTTTCAGACCCCTCTAGCTCTTTGATTTCAAAAAAGCGCCAAATCTAGCGACTTTTTTCTGCTACTGGAGACTTTGGCGCCAACATCTAAAAGCAGTGAACTCTGCTCTCCAGAGCAAGTAGATTGGTAAACCTGCCTCCTGCTCTCCTCTATCTTGTCTGCTGTCATGATTCATGCAGCTATTATTTCATCCAAATGAAAAATGGAGAACAGAGAAGCAGATCATGGCTTGTCTACAGTGAAAAGAAGGACTGGGTTATTTACTTTGGCCTTTTTGGAAACACAGGAAGGAGCAATCAGCTAAGTGAGCTTAGTGCTTGGAAAAAATCTTTCATTCCTTTAGAGACAGCATGACAAGTCAGCTGAGTACAAAACATAGAGAGCAAAACAAGAAGAAAAGGGACAAGAAGAGAGGGACAAAACCTAGAACAAATAATGGATGTCTATTCTATTAGCATTTCTCTATCTGTAGAATGGGGCTGATTTATGTGTTGTCTTCTCAATTCAGGGGGCCCCTGTCTGCCCACATTTCCTTAATCCGCCCGTGTTGCCAATGCAGTGAATTGCCCAGCCCTAGTTGCCAGAGTTGCATTGTTGTTTCAGGCTCACAGGCTGAAATCTTGTTGAACCCTGGGTCTGCATAGAAATAATGATGCTGGCTGTTTTGGTGGATAATGTTATGCACTTTAAGTTCTGCTTAAATGTCACAACACCTGGGAAGGTCCTCTAACACGGGGCTGTTTCTACAGAGCTGTTCTCTTGTTGTTTTTTTCGCCATCTTGCAACTGTCGCTGCTTCCTCCTCCACATTTGGAGGAGCAGAGATGGAAGGAGCATCCTGTTGCAGAGGGGTCCCTGCTCCTCCTGGCGGTGTGGCTGAGGGGGGCGGGGCCCTGTGAGGCTGCAGGAACAAACCACAACACCCCCCCCTCTTTCTGCACACTCTGCTGCAACATCACCGGGGAGGAACAATAACCTGGGAGCGGAGCAGCCTGCCGCCTTTATTCTCTGATTTTCGGGTTTTTGGAGCAGGAGGAGGAGGACAGGGAGGGAGACAGACGGAGGGAAGATGTCCTCCCTGCAGGTCTCCTCATCCCGCAGACAGTCCTGTTATCTGTGCGACCTGCCCCGCATGCCCTGGGCCATGATTTGGGACTTCACCGAACCCGTGTGTCGGGGCTGCGTCAACTACGAGGGCGCGGACCGGATCGAGTTCGTCATCGAGACGGCCCGCCACCTGAAGCGGGCTCAGGGCTTCCAGGACAGCCGGTCCTCCGCAGCGGCTCAGCCCGCTGCAGCCAAAGGCCAGGCGGTCCTACTGGGCGGGAAAGACCCGCTG